GGGTTGGTTATATATATATATATATATATATATATATATAAAGGATATGTTTGTTATATATATTATCAATCTAAGACGAGTACCAATTAGAAGGGGTGATTTGGTTCAAGTAAAATGCTCTAAAAGATGAAGAGAAAAATCGATTATGATGTTGGTAAAATGACCGTTGACAGGGTATAACGGTAAAACATGATTCGTATGGTTAACTCAAATAATTAAGATAAAGCATGGATGATTAGTTTTAAATAAAAATATATAAAAAGAAATAACTTATTTGTACAGTGTTTAACTGAAGTATTGAAAAAGTGCCTGTGCACCCTTCCACCGTCACAGGATGGGAGACTCTCCCATAGTAGATGACACAATTTTCCTCTTTGGACCACACAATTGTAGAAGTAAGGTGCAACTCATGGATATAAAGAAGGAAAATAAATTGCAGTCCAAAAATTGGTACCGATTTTGAAGTGTTTAAAAGTTTTCTCGATCAGTATTATTTAAAAATAAATAAATTTTACGATTAAGGTCCTTTGTAAATTTTTTGGACCATCATAAAATTTATAACTCTACTTCATCCTTACAAAATTTAGAAACCACGCCTCATTTCTACAGTATAGGGAGGCAACTTTGTGCAAAACTCACCCCTTAAGCATATGCGCACATTTTTCTATTTCGCGCTCAGTCTCTGGTTCTTTCTCAATCAACTCTCTCTCTCTCATGAACCAGTTCTCTCTCAACCGGTTCTCTCTCTACACTGGCTCTATCCTATCTCTCTCACTTCAATATCCCACTTCCTCACCATCTATTGCTTACGTCAATTTCACAGTTCTTTCCTCTCTCTCTAGCCCTCTCTCTTTCTCCCTCTCTGTTTCTCAGTATCAAAAAAATGTCAGATGAAACGGTGAAATTCAGCGTTCTTTGTAGTATGTTTCAGGCCCTTGCGAGGAACAAATCTTCTGTTATGAAGCGAAAGCATTTCCGCACTTTCTTGGATCATGTTTACAAATCGAAAGAGTATTTCAGTGCAATTCGCCTCATTCTCCCCTCTCTAGACAGAGAGAGAGGAACATATGGTTTGAAGGAATCTGTTCTCGCTACTTGTCTCATCGATGCCCTAGGGATTTCTCGAGAATCGGAGGATGCACTACGCCTCATCAATTGGCGAAAGGGTGGGGCAAAAACTGGGCCAAATGCTGGGAATTTTGCCTTAGTTGCTGCTGAGGTACTGCGAAAAGATTATATCACGGTTGAATGTTCCTAGTATTTGTTGGGTAGTTGATGAAATTTGTTCGTGTTGATTGTTCTCTCTCTCTCTCCCTCTCTCTCCCTCTCTCTTTTTTCGGTAATTTGTAATTTGTTTATGTGTTTATTCATCGTTGTGCTTATTTTTTGCTGGGTAGTTGATAGGATTTGCTTAATTTTTTTAATTGCTCTTTTTGTTGGGTAATTTGTTATTTTTTGTTATTTTTTTAGTTAGCCCTGCTAAAAATATGACCTGTTGGGTGATTATGCTTATTATTTTTGCTAATTGGCTAATTATGCTTAATCTCTGCAGTTATTTTAATTTGCCTTGAGCATTGTTTGTATTTGTATTAAGTTTTCCCTTGTTTCCACAGAACTATGATTTGTTGCTGCATAAGCATGATTATATGTTTCGTTTCTTAATAGATTGTTTTTGAACTTTCTGATGATAGTGTAATTGTCATCTGATTATCCCAACTATTTGGGATCGGCTGTTTTTTATGATAGTGTGCTAGTGGAACTTGTTAGATTTGATTGTGGTCTTCTTCTTCCTGCAAACATTGTTAGACTACACTTATAAATAGTTATACAGCTATTTTAGGCACGACTGTAAACAAATAGCACACAATATGCGATGAATGAATTAAAGTTTTAAAATCCGGAACAGGGCAGGGCCCAGTCCGAGTCATTGGAGAGCCCCCACTCGGACCTGTCGAGATTTGGACCCAAAAATTCAATATGTTTTTTTAAAGAGCCAAGTCAAGACTGGGCCACCCTTGGTAAACTCCTCTAAGACTGGGTTATCTGAGTCAGGGTAATCCCGAACTGGCAGGGTGCTGGTTCCTAGTGCTTCTGATGAGTCCATGCAGGACTCGCTGATTTTTCAAACACTGAACTAGATAAGAAGTATTAGCATTTAGGAAGTAGCAAACAAAAACCACAAAGCCCCAAGGTTTGTTTGATAAGAGTCCCATTGGTTGATATATCTTCACCCCCAGTGGAATTATTTAGACACATGGCTAGACTTAAATACTAGGCACTAGCCGATGAGAACTTATAAAAGTTTGAGTCTTTGAGAAGTAGTCACTAGGATGTTGTTGAAAACCTTTTCCTTCATTTCATGACTTCGTTTTCATAATAAAAAGAATACACATGGAGCTCTCCAAAATGCCAAATTCATTAGCCTAAAATGGTTCGATTAATCAATCTTAAAGTTGTATACTGAAGCAATCTCAGAACATCTTATAGCCCAAAGTCCTCTTAGAACTTTGGTTTATGCACAGTATGCTAGTGATTTATATATTGGTTTTCATTTTAATTTTCCTGTTTGTTTCCTTTTTTTCTAGATATGTGTTTTTTCTTTGCATTCCCTTGTTGGTTCTTGTTCTAATAGATAGGTATGAGATATTTGCCAACATCTGAAACATTAAAAAATTGTCATATTTGGCATGCATGTGAATGATGTGAAAGCTATGAATTTACTTTAAAGCCTTGAACCTCGAGGCCTGTGATACCTATTTTCACTGGACCTTGTTGCCCTTGATTTCTTTTTTGCCAGGTTTTACAACGCAGGCAAGGAATGACCTCTGGAGGATTAACAATTAAAGAGGTGAACGATTTGCTTGATCGTTTGGCAGCAGCTGAAAATAGGTGCTCATCTGCATTTCATATACATTTCTGTTTCTGCATGCATGGGTGAATCTAAATTTGAGAATTGAGAATTGCAAATTTGAGAGTTGCAAACAAACTTTACTTGTTTCTTATAACCTGTTTCCTTTTCATTCTCTTATCTTTGTATTGTACTGATAAAATATTTGTTGCAGGGAGCAAAAGACATCCGTTCTTTCTGAGCTTATTAAGAAAACGAATTCTGTTGAAATGAAGTGGATTGTCATGATTATACTTAAAGGTGATTACTATTTCTATTTCGAACATTTTCTCAATACAGTAATTTACATACTTTTGACACGTTCTTGTCATAGATGAACTTTAATCTCTTCTCATAGTGCAGATCTAAAACTTGGAATTAGTGAAAAGAGCATCTTTCGTGAATTTCATACTGATGCTGAAGACTTGTTCAATGTGACTTGTGACCTAAAATTAGTATGCGAAAAACTGAAAGATCGAACTCAACGAAACAAGAGACAGGTAGGTGTGTGTTTGTTGGTTGTAAATATTATCTTCTCTCTCTCTCTCTCTATATATATATGCATATATATATATATATATTTATTTATTGATCTATGTATATATATTTGTCCTGCACACGCACACAAATCTGTCAGTCATTAGAATTACTTCCATAAATATCAAGAAATCCTAATGCGGGAAAACTTGTTCTTGTCCATTCTGATTCATAAAATGCCTTTGTTATGGTTAGTGTTCACAACACAAGAATACGGTTATAAATTTGGTGGCATAAAGCTGCTGGACCTATGGCTGAATGTTGGAATGTGTTGAGGGGATGCTGTTTGAAGGATATGGTTTAATTACGCTTCTTAAATTTGGATACATTAGTTTTTGTTTTTGTGCCTTGGAATTGTTGGTAGAAGAATGTAGAGTTTAAGGTACAGATGCTTCAAAGTTGTTCATGAAATAAGCTTGCTAAATGTAATATTTTGTTGGAAACATTCATGCGTAGTACTAGAGTTGACGGCCTCCAGGAAGTCCCCCTATTGCATCCAATTACTGAAAAGAGTTTGAGTTAATACTGTCAGAACCACTCTGATGATTGAACTATTACGGGAGCTGATCCTGTTCTGGTTGGTTTATACAAGTGGATTGACTGTTTCATGTTCAACTATCTGGGGAAGGAGGCTTGCTCACCTTCAATCCAAGAGTCTCTAATCATTAGGGTGGTGTGATTTAGAAAATTCAAGTCCATCTCTGCCTGAAACTGCTTCTTTTCTTACTAGTTTAGCATATGCTGGTTGAGTGATTTCTGCAAAAATATGTCAACTGTGCATTTCATTCAATTGAAATCACAAGGATTCCTGCTTTTATTGGGAAGAAAAAATTCATGTTTCTTTATGCTTCATTTACTTCTTTTAGGTAAAAAACAGGTTGCTACTCTCTATTCAGTTTTTTTGCATGCTTTCCCCATATGTGCTTATTTGCATGTTTGGCAGTTCCTACTCAGGGATGATTTGTTCCTTGTGCAGGACATAGAAGCTGGGAAAGCTGTGCGCCCTCAATTAGCTATGAGAGTTGCTGATGCTAGTAGTGCATGGAAAAAGGTTTTGTTAGTCAGTTCCATGGAGGCTTGTTGAAGTTTATGCAATGACTTGTTTTTGGTCAATGCTTGTATGAATTATGCATGTCATGCTGCCCATGCACCTAAAAAGCTAAAAGGTTGCTCAGTTGGCTAATTAAATGTAATTAGGTTTGGTGGGGAGTATAGGTTTTTGCGCTGCCTTCAAATTGATCTGCTTCTTTAGTTTTTATAAGAACTCTATGTTTTGATGCCTTTTTTAATGTGTTATTAATTATAAAAACTTGAGGTTATGTGAACGTAATTCAGGTTTTTAGAGGCTTCAGGTTTAGAAATTTTGAGTGAAATCAGGATGTCCACACATGCAAGTACAGTTCAGAGATTATTGTTTTATGAACGGCTTCTTGGTTCCTGAGATTCACTTAACTTTTTTATACGGGTGCAGCTAGTGTAAGGCCACTGCTTTATGATAAAAAGTAAAGCCGCACCTTAGAACCCCATTGGAAAATGCAGTTCCCACACCAGATACCCTTATGATGGCCTGAAGATCTGTTTCCATCCTTGCTACAAAATTTGAGTTCCAAACATGAAGCAAATCTGGCAGAAAATCAATGGTCCAGATGTCATGTTACAAGATACATTACCTTGAGGGCTTGATATCCACTTCTTTTTTGTTGTCCATAATTTCTGAGGCCGAGATGATTAATTTGAGGGTTTTTGGGCACTGGATCCACCTTTTCTAGTGAGATTTGAGCTGTGGCTTTAAAAAACCACAGCCCTTTGCTGACCTTCACTTTTTTGTATTCATAATGCAGTATCAATGCATATTCATCTCTATTTCATATGCCTTTAATTAAGAGTTTTTTTGGCAAGTCCTTCCATTGGTATTTCAATAAACATAGAATGACATTTTTCTTGTGTTTCAGCTTCATGGAAAACAAGTCGTTATTGAGTGCAAGTTTGATGGAGATCGTATTCAAATTCATAAGAATGGAAATGAATTATGCTTCTTTTCGAGGTACTAATATATGTATGGGTATTTATTATTTCTGGGATTTTAGGCAGAATGTAGTTAGGTAATTATTTGTCATATATTTTGTTTAGTTATTGTTTGGTTCTCCAAGAATTAAAAGGGCACATTGACCAACTATGCATTTGCAACATCGACATCATTAAACTTGCTTTTTAATGTTGCTGTATACTACCTTAAAATCATGTTGAATTTGTTGAAATTATTTTTTCCCTAGAACTTTAGAATAATTTTGTGTAGAGTTACACACGTGATAACTATTATTCAAGGGTTGGATAAAGGCCATCTAGGTTGGTTAGTTGCTTTTATTAGACTACATTTATAGTGTCGACTTCTTTTTTAATATCATTTGAATGATTGAGTGGTACTTCTACCATTTATTTCTCCTGAAGCTATTTAAAAATGGTTCTTGATTTATTGGCTGTCATGCAAAATTTATTTGACTTATTGACTATATTTGTGTTTTCCATCTCTGAAGGAATTTCATTGACCACCCGGAGTACGGACATGCCATGTCGAGCTTAATACTGCAAAATGTTCTGGTGGAACGGTAAATTAATCTCAATTGTACTTTTTTTGTACAGTTTCTTTTCCAACTGTCTTACCTGGTTCCTTGTTGAGTTCTTGTTTTTACTTGTAATATATTGGCCCTGTACCCAAGCACGAGGTTCCTGCAATTAAGGATATCTTATTCCCTTCATTATCTGATATCACCTTCTTAAGTGCTGATTCTTCAAATGGTTTTTGTGCTCATAACAAATTACTATTGCATCATAGTTAGATCTTAGCATAATCTGCCAGTCAAAGGTCAGAGATATGCATGTTTTTCAATTGCAATTCATCTGTTGTTCTTCTTCAATGTTCAAGTAACCCACATTTTTTTCCTGTGGTTGATGCCTTGATATGTCACTTTTCATCCCTTATATTCTTAAATTCATTGTCTGAATCTTAAAAGATAACATTACAACTGCCGTATGTTCTTTATGGAATTCTGTACAGGTGCATCCTTGATGGGGAAATGTTGGTCTGGGATACATCTACCAACCGTTTTGCAGAATTTGGCTCGAATCAGGAAATAGGTGTTTAACATAATGAGCTTGGTCTTTCTTTTCATCATTAGTCCCAGGTTTTTGCAATTTCTGAAAAAAATTATAATGTTATTTGGCAGCAAAGGCCTCTAACGACGGTATCGAGGGTGATCGGCAGGTTCTCTTCACCTAACTTTTATTGTTTGATATTATGTTTGTTTCTGAACCATTACATTGGATCATTAAATGGATTTCCTCTTATGTTTGTTCTTTTGCAGTTATGTTGTATCCTTTGCACTGGGATGTGCTTGCTCTTAGATGGTGATCCACTGTAAATTGATGAACTCAATGGTATCTATATTATTAAATTTGAATCTGGTTTATTATGTGTTTTGATCTTATTGTATGTGGCATATTGATATCGAATTTTCTTGGAGTAATCATTTGATCATTGAAATACCCGAGGGAAATGGAGCAAGCTCGGAATTTTGACCTCTTGAGCTGGGGCTAGCCGAGTGAGGGTCTGAAGCAGTATTTTTGAATGCATAGTTCATTTTATATGTATTTCTCTGTTGTTATTGTTTTTGTATTTCCATTATGGTATTTCTTATTAGCCCTTACCCAGATAATTTCCATTATGGTACTTCTTATTAGTCCTTACCCAGATAGATACTACTTATCCATCTCAAGAATAATTTATTTGGTTGACTTTACCTTGACATAAAGACTGTTAGATGTTGCATTTGATATTCTTTATGTTGGAGATACTAGTGTTATCCATCAAAGCCTCAGAGAACGACATGAACTTCTTCGAAAAGTTGTACAACCTGTAAAGGGTCGGTTAGAAATTTTAGTGCCTGATGGTGGCCTTAATGTTCGTCGTCCCTCTGGTGAGTTAGTAACATTCTGTTGCCCATATTTTGTTGCTACTGATTCTTTTTCTTTCACTGATGAGAGCCAGATAATTTATTTATTTAGTCAATCTCGTGGTTGGATACATGTGTTTTGATTGCTTATGCACCTTGTGCAGATGAACCGTGCTGGTCTCTCATAGCTTACAGTGTGGAAGATGTCGAAAAGTTTTTTAAAGAGACCATTGAGAACAGGTTAGGCATATGCTTTTGCTGATTTCCCATGAAACTTTAGAAGTAAAATTGTGTTTTTACTTGAGTTTACAAGGTGAATTGTTTGTTTGTTTAATCTATCTTATGCAAAGATTGTTTATTCATTGACTGCTGTCTAAAGGCTGGGCATCTTCTACTTCTTACTAGGGATGAAGGGATAGTGTTAAAAGATCTAGATTCGAAATGGGAACCTGGTGATCGTAGTGGAAAATGGTTAAAACTGAAGCCTGACTATGTCCATACTGGTTCTGATCTTGATGTGCTAATTATAGGTTGGATTTCCATTTTTTTGTTACTTGTAGATAAGGCCATTATGACAAAGTTGTTAAGTTTCCTTTGTTCGTTATGAATGGTTCGATTGAAATCTCTTGTATGTCAGGGGGCTATTTTGGGTCAGGGCATCGTGGTGGAGAGGTAACTACTCTTTTTCCAAAGCTCTGTCAGATCAATTTTTCTTCCATCCAATATGTCTTCAATTGGAACTTGTTTCTATGAAATTTAGGTAGCACAATTTTTGGTTGGTCTTGCAGATCGTGCAAACCCTGGTACCTATCCCACAAGGTGCGTACCATCCCTACAGTGCATTTTAAGTTGTCTTGCCAAGTGGCAGGTTTCTGTGCTGTAGCTTTTATTTTATGAATTTGTTAATAGCATACATCAGTGTTTTAAAAAATGCCGAGTTGAACCGGACTCGCCCGGTTCGACTCGGAAATCGTGAAGAGGGGACCGGATCGCCTAAAAAATCGGAAATCGTCCGGTTCTAGAGAGAACCGGACGATTCTGTACAGTGAATCGCCGATTCACTGTACGGAATCGGCGAGTCCCGTACGGATTTTTTTTTTTTGTAATCCACGATAGATTTTTTTGTAATACTTGATCGATTTTTTTGTAATCCATGATCGAATTGTTTTTGTTTTTTTGTAATCCATGATCGAATTTTTTGGTTTTTTGTCACCCATAAT